AACTTTGTCCCGTGCGTTCAAGCTGATTCGTTAATTACATACGGCAGTGACCCTTCAAAGTTAACTTAACCATAGTGTGAAACATAACTTTAAAGTATTCGAGAGTGTAACAACTCGGGAGTGTGAGAACCCTGGTCGTGTCACCAGAAAGCGAAAAACTTAAATATTATTATTCCGAGATTTTTTTTTTTTTCAATATCTCAGATGGACATTCTATTTCGACTGGTTTCTATTTCATAGAGTTCCACTAGACTGTTTTTTTCTATGAGTTGCAAGAACCGTTTTTCAAATTACGACGTTAAATCGCACCGATGTTATCGTTGGGCGTAGCGAGCAATCAAGTTCTGTCACTTGAAGTGTCATATAAAATTACGTAGCTGTCACGTGAACTATTTATAGATATTATTTTGTTTGAACACAGTTGCACACGTGGTTACTGTATTACGTGGACCAGAAATGTGTATTTGAACAAGCGTAGACATTTCACTCACCGTGCCCATAAACGTCGTCTGCGCATTTGTCGCGCTTTCTAAAAAAACGAACAATGTTCTTTGCAATGTATATTGGCTTTAGGGGTGGACTCCGTCTGACTGTCATTCTTTGTTTTCAGTTCTCCCTCATTATGCATTTGCAACAGAATCGAAACGTGTTCGAGAAAATTGAGAATAGTCGACTGCTGTTCCTTACGCATTTTTCAGTTTCCGTCCGGGAACGAGAACGGTATGGAAGTCCCGGGCTTTCGGAGCTGACGTTGCGAATGACGCATCTATGTCTGCTTCCCGTTGGCACATTTGTTGCCAAACTATTTGAGAAAACAAATACACAATGTCACAGGTTTTCTACACAATTTTATATGTACAAATTGTTGAACACTAGTGGCGCACAACTCACCATTTCCCGTGTGCCATATTTCTGAGAAGGAGTGTGCGTGTGTCATCGAACTGGCTGTGCTGGAATGTACGTCACAAAGACGTTACGTGTAAGATTGTGCCTGATTGGCTACTCAAACCTAACGCATAACGATTGGGCCAATAGGAGAGCTACTTGTTTGTCGACATGTTTTTTACGTCTCAGATTCCGCCTTGTATAACTGCTATTCTTCTCTATCAGGCCGTGAAAGCTCGTACGCATTTCCTGTGATTAATACGTATGTAAGTACCGTTAAATCTTCGTGAACAAATATATAACCACTTCGAATTGAACGGATGTTATTGATAACAGGCGGATTAACTGCCACTCCACAACAGTACTGCAATAGTCGTGTTCACGCTACAGAGAAATACAGATAAGATTTAAGCTAATCTTATATGTTTGCGTATCGGATAGACCCAAATACCATACCATGGCATACCGAAATGAATAGTTATGAATATGCTAGTGAATCTTCCAAATGAATATTGAATACAATGGCGTTTTTGGTGCTTAGCCTGAGCTAAGCGTTTACGCAAACTTCGTTAGCCTGTGCTAAGGGTCTGGACCGGATCTTAATAACGGGCCAGATTTAATCCGTATTTTGCATTTATTAGCCCGTGCTAAGCGTTCACTCACGTTTTCTTAGCACCGGCTAAGGTATTTGACCTCTTAGCCCGTACTAAGGAGCTGTGCGTGAACACTACTAATATTTGGTTGCAAATCGAGTGGTGTTGTTTGTTTAGTGTACGTTATGTCTCACTGGTGTTCCTGGACTGGTGTTCTGGTTAGGTTCATTAGCTCGTGAACGAAATCATGTCGAGCAAACAAAAACAACAGAGTCATACGTTTGCAATTTCAACACAATGATATAACCAAGGCAAAAACAGCAATAAGCAATCTTACACTCACCACAAACTATTGTTTGTAAATGACTGGTTCTTTTTAGCCCCTAATTAAGAGTTGATAGGTCAAAGGTCACTCACGCAACTGGAGTCGTCGTAACATTGTTTTCGGCCACATAAGGTCAAGTATATTTTTATGATGAACTTTGGCAAATTTCACCAATTTCACCGTAAAAGAAGTAGCATCCATAGTTGAGAACAGACAGACAGTACAGAGCGTAATTACGCGGAGAAATTGTTGTAACGGGCCACCGTACTAAGACAATGTCAGCGCATTGAGTTAAGGTATTTTGCTACCATTAAAAAAACATACTCGGAAAACCTCGATATCCAGCAAAAGGGGTTGGGTTAAAATGTAATGTTCAAAATAAAAATATATGGTCATCGAACTAAGTTTACCACAAAATGAACTCGAAAATTGATCAAAAATGCGTATTTTGAGTAGTTTACATCTGGTTCCTATGATGGCAGAAACAGTCCACCATGACCTACATATGACTGTTTAACATTAGAATAAGTTATCAATGGAATAATGTGTTTACATGGTGTCATATGGATAATGTTCCAAAATAACGGCTTTTTGGATTGTTTTCCATATCTTTTTTACTTAAAAACACATTATTCTTCCTCCGCAAAAACTTTAAATATGAATTACACATTTTTTTTAAATGATTCACCGTGATCAATTTGTTCTACGTTATAATGGAAGCGATCCACCTCACATCAAACAACACGCCGATTCATTGGCTCTTTATTTTGTTTCACCAGACGTTTTCATTGAATATTATTAATATTCCACGCCAATCGTACAGTCACGTGATAATCACTAATACAGAACAAAATATATTAGTATTTATTTAAATGTTCAACACAACGAGAGCCCCGTTCGATGGCATAGTGACACGTAGCCACTTCAGCGTTATGGTCTGATCACAGCAATCTTACTTAGATGCTTCTCCGAAATTTCTGGTCGCATAAAAATCGTACTACGGAATACGCAAGTCAGTGACCTTCATTATGACCTATGTTCCCGTGATACGCATAATGTCCGCGGTAGTTCTGCATTAAATCTGCCCTTGATTCATGCGACCGTTGCAGTACTCATATTAACCACGCGAGATTTCAGCTTGAATCACGTGTTACTCCGAGAAAAATGATAACGCACATGTATGATAGCATCACTGAGACGACGATGTCAGCGTTCACAGACACCTTGCATTCATCTGTAAATACCGAATTGATTTGATGGTATCAGACGTTAGTGGGTTTCATTAGCAGCTTCGGCATTCCTTTTGACGACAACGCCCTCTCTGGGGAGGTCGCACATCGAAATTACGATCATTTTTTTGATAGGCTTCTTGGGTATTTCGAAGTTACCGGTATTTAACAGCACATGGGGTCTCTGAATGATTTGGGTATCAAGTTCAAAAGCACTTTAATTTCGTTTAACGATCTAGACGAACAGCGGAATTTGAATTAAATTCAACAAATAGAATCTAGAAAATGGATTGGTTTTAACTTTTTGGACATAATGTTTAGGAGCACACGGTACGATCGTCAATATTGTTTCGCGCTATGGTTGTCCGTCAATGGAAAATACAAACAAAATTGTAGAGATTTGTTGTCTTCTGAATGAAGAACGACTACACAACCAGAGTTAAACGGCATAGCTTAAACCCACCCAGCTGAGTCGTTTTGACGTCACGAAAGTGATTCGTCACTAGAGGGTGGGTTCTATAGGAACTATGTGGGTGGCCCTGTCAATTCTGTGTTCGAAAAAAATCGCAAAATGAAAATATTTTATTCCAACCGAGATTCCCAGTGATACCCATAACCAATATATGTGTCCGTGAATCCAATTACCGACAATTTAAGAATGCCCGTCCGCGTTGGAACGAAAGTTAAAAAAGCAAAACGATGGAAGAGATGGCCTCGGTTACATGCGTCATCAAGAAAATTCAAATATGTTCTGTTACAGTCTGATGCTGTTTAAATGTTAGCTAAAGTTTTTTTTTTAATTCGCTGAAAATAGTATGCAGCAATATATTTCAGTCGTGTGTATACGTGCATTGGTTGAATGTGTCGTTCCGATGATTCCCCCCACGGTTGGACTAAGATCCACGCTAACTGTGAACTGAAATACCATATTTCGAGGAATCTTAATGTAGTATGTCTGACTATGTAATCAGTACACAATGTACTTCGAAGGGAATTTATTGTGTTCATCGCAGTGCAATTTTTCGATATAATTGTTGTTTTTAATGTCTTTAAGAATTATAATCAAATCAAATCAGTAGGCCAGTCACAAATTTGTTTTAACATGGGATTTTCTCATGAACCAGTACCAGGTCTCTCACAAAACCCCAAGACTCACAGACTGCATAGGCTAACAACATTTATCCCCCACAACTCATTTAATGTTTGATTCCCTCGCCTCGTCCTGTTCGGTGACTTTTTCCGTGACTATTGAATGTGCTGAGCTGCAAGCAGGATGAATTAACAGAGACGCCAGTTAGCTAACGTTTTCGCTGACCGCCGTAGTGCCAGTACGATGTATATCTGCGCTAAGTTGTGGTACGGTATGGCAATACAATTAAAGTAACCCACAAAACATTCAATTCCATTCCATTCCACTCCAGTGAGCCGGACATTTAGCTTGTGATGTGAAAGAAAACTAAACAACAAACAAACTAATACCTGTGGGCTGAAAAGGCTTGATGGTGGACAGTGTGTTCTTTTAAAGTAGGCCTCGGTTACAATCCCCAAGGGTCGAGCCACATGTTCATTGGCCCAGCTAAGTAACTGGCATTTGTGTAAATGATGTTGGTTTTGACAGGAACAACAATACAAGATGTTTGTAGCGGTACATTGCACAGACATTGAAAATTATTTCGGATAATCCTCCCATGGCGCTCCAAGGATAGCGAACACCACGTTAAGATCATTAGCTCAAGCCATGGTCTTAGTACATCCATGCTCAAGCCTACAACCCTAACAATAAACTCAGGTTCAGATTATTGACGTGACATCGGTTTGCAATAAACCCCAATCAGTACGAATAAAAAGGACGTTGTCAGTCACAGCCGATCGAGTGTCCGTGCGATTATTAAAAGTAATCGCTCATCTATAGTCTCCATCTACCTTTATATAAAGTTTTAAGTTTTAAAACAGTGTCCTTGGACATACCAATGGACGCCAGTCACGAACAAGACCGAGTTCCCATTCGTTTGTCTTGCGCATATTCGTACCGCCGGTCAGTGTGTACGCAAGTTCAGATTTATTTGTACGATTTCTGTTCCCAGAATATGAGTGGGTTCACACGTTGCGACCTACAACTGCACATGGGAAAGACGAACTGTCAAAAACCCGTGAGAATTCCGTGAAAAAAATCGTTTAAATTGCTCCATGTACAATTAATGAAAAGCGAGGATGGACTATTATAATTTATACAGGAAAATCAGACTCAATTTCCTATATCCCCATATCTAGGTTCATTCTCTGCAGGCTCGCACCTAATAATTTAATTCGTACTTGCCGCAATTTGTGCTTGGTGTGATAAGTTTGAAATATATGTGAGCTCACGGTGACGTCACATTGGTCGATAATGTAAGAATCATGAATTGCTCATTATTAGCAACTTGGCGTCAATAAAAGACATTGTTTAATTAGAATAGAATAAGCGATTCTCGAAAAGCGATCGGACGTGCCATTTTAACATAATAGTAGTTACGTACTTGATTTCATAGAATTTCTGTTTTGTACGGACCAAGTTTAGTATCTATGCCATGGCTCAATATCACAAATAAATAGTTTTTCTTTACTTCTGCACCCGGTATTAACAGTTGAGCCCCAGACAATTATTAATTGTCTGAGGTAGAGCATATAGGAGTATCTAAATGTGATGTCCGAACCTAAAATCGCATTTTCTTGTGTCACATCATATGCAATTAAGTTCCTTTCTCACTCTATTAGTTTTGATCCAATGTATATGTTTTCCCTACTTTTAGCTATTTTTTAATAATTTAGTCCATGTAATACAGAGAATGTCTACTTGGTGTCAAAATATTGCTACTGATATTAAAATACCTACCGTGACTAAAAGAAAAATATTTTTTTTTGTAGAAAAAAATCTTTCCCAGCTACCTGCAAGCTATTACTAATATCTAAAATACATGCCACGTTACATGTCCTATCACCACGTGTTTACTCATCTGATATGTTTGAATTAAAAATAAAAAGACTGAAAAACACAGCATAATATAATAAGAATTCACTCAAATCAGAATACAAAATGTATTGACAAAATGGATATATAATAAAAAGATTTCTATATATTCTATGTACTAGTAACCTATTTCAAAATTGAAATCTAAAGTTCGTCTTGAATCTGGGTTGTTATCACCCAGTGCAAAAGCTGTGGATGTATTGAAAATCGTAAAATTTATATTATCACGCGCGCTGGAAACAAATTAAAATATTAAACGTATTTCCAGAACCCATTACGATTGCGGCGCTTCTAAAACGCAATTTGACTGTCCGTTCTGTACTGTTGTGAGTGAATGAACCGTAGCACCCGGCGTATTCGTCAGCTGCGAAGCCCGGCCGCTTCTAGCCACGTCAAGCAACCGCCGCGTCACGTCCTAACACAAAAAAGCTCTTAAAGTGATGAAAATCTAGGGATAAGTTACCGGCATCAGCTGTAACCAGGTTTTGTCCGCATGGTTTTGACTTAATGGTGCGTTCTATAATTTATATAAGTGAGGCGTGCGTGTCAAAAAACCGCAATCGACCCTCGTTGTATTGCCCGTGCGACATGTGCGCAATGTCAGCTGTAGACGGGGTGTTACCAGCGGTAATGCATACGGACATCGCACACATTGGGCTCGATGACGTTTTTAATTTTCTTCGATTTTCGAATTGCTCATTGGGATTGAAGCATCTCGTGCAATTGATGCGTTCTGTTGTTACTTCGTGAGAAAATCTCCAATTTTACGCGAAGCCATGTACTTCATTCTTAGTAATATGTAATTCACATGTTCGTCTCCTCATGGGTATACGAGTATTCTTTGTTGCTCAAACCGGAAGTCACGTGATACAATCGTGATTTTCACTCAGAAATAGACCAAGTCAAAAATTTAAATTAAACAGTCATTTAATAATCTACAAGTCTTTAATTTATTAATAATTATCAAAAACGATCGTCATTGGAATTCCTCGGGCCTAGTAGACGTCACTGTCGAATAAATATGCCGCAAACTAGTCTTTCGTTTAATGTATAAAATATAGCGACGCGGAATGAAAACAGAGGCCATTTTCAAGACTTAGATTTAGATTGAAAATCATGGCGTGAAGACAGACTAGCGTAGCATCAAATTTGGCCGAAAAGTTGAGACACGGAAAGAAGCTCCTGCATCCATGCAGACGGAAAATCACCAAGAATAGACAGAATTAGAGTTTGACAAAATATTGAAATAGTTGAAACGAGTAAAATTTTTATAAACTTGAATAATGTGTGAGATTATCAAATTTGAGGGAACTCGATGCCTTTATACGTCGCTTTTTAAAAACTTCCGGGATTGAACAAAACGATTTGAAATGAGATGAGAAGGATAGAAAGCTTGGGATAAATTAGTGTTGGCAGTGTGGATTAATGTAAGAATAATAGCAGCGAACAAAGAAATAGGCCGGTAATATACGACGTTTACAGCCAGCTGCCCGCGGCAGTGTATCGCCGCAAGCCGTGAAGGCCATGCTGGATCTTAGCCAGCTTTGGCATGAATGCCACCCATGGGAAACAGGAAAATGTACCGAATACATCAACGGTCATGTACGCTTTATTTTAATTCAGAGAAATACTCACCCGATCATCTTACTCTTTAGACAGGCTTGAACCGGAAACGGAAGTCAGGGAATTCACCGGCATACATTATAATAATATTCAGCTACTTTTTTTGTTTAGTGTAGGGATTTAAAATAATAATCACTATTATTTTCTTATGGAACTAGTCAAAAAAGCGGAAATATCGCGACTAAAAGTGTTTTTTTCATAGTAATCTCACGTTTCATAATATGCGTGGGAACGAGCTTGTTGCGCGTCCGTGACTGCGTCATGATGGGCAAAAAAGTGAAAGTATTGCAGCATTTATTTTTACTCCGTAAAACTGTTAGTTTGAGTGGGAAATTAATAAGCATTGCTTTGATAAATTTTGATGTAAACACACAATTTTATATTTGACATTATTTATTTCCGTGCAGAAGTTACTAAATATGTACTTGCCCCGATTAGCCTAAACTCCAAGAAGTCACGGTGAATTCTTTTATTTCGGAAACAAAAAATCGCTATATATATATATATATACGATGGCCATATCGTGTCGTTGTTTACAAACTAGCGTCTACCCATGAGTTTGCATTTTTGGCGTGTGTTGTTATCGTCGCTTGGGACTCAATTCCCGTGCGTGCGCAGGTGACGACCCCCCCCCCCCCTGTTTTAATATTTATGTTATTTTATATTAATAATATGTTATGTTCCGTTAATCAAAGTAAGGAGATGCATGTCATGATTTTTTTGAGACTTGGTATTATTATACTAGTAGTAATTCAGTGAAAACAAAACAACGTGAGTATGCGGAGTGTCACGCGACTTTATAGTTGCTTGCCCGATTCTCCCAACGGAAGCTGGCAATCAGAATTGAAATTTCTTTAACGCAAACGCATCGAAAAATGTTGCATAGCGGCCCGGCTTGTTGGCAATATTGAACTAATCTCCATCAATTCGATACATGCTGCGTGACACGTGACACCAGATTTCCGACGCACGTTATCACGTGACAGTCACGCGCCCACTGAAAATGCATATGGTACTTGTCTTTTGGCCATTCAAGACTTACGTTCTGGGAGTGCTCACAGTGTGTCCATGACGTATACAACGACACGCACTGACACGATGAGACTAAGTTACTGCGGCTTGGTATGTTTGACAAATATATACTAGTGATTCATTGAATTATGTTATTGTTATTCGGCACCGAGGGAACTGTCTTGTTTATCTCCATACCGAATGTCCCCAAAATACGTGAAGGTAATTCCAGGACGCATGCGCATGTTTCATTGATACATTTGCTATCAAAACAAGGGTTCTATTTTACAACATTAAATTATACAAGAATATTTTACTCAAGATGCAATATCGACGAATATTAACACTTGCTCGAAAATACGTTAACAAATTGTTATCAACGTAACATTTTCACCAAATCACCAGTGATCACTAAATCACTCTGTCATTAAATAACTTGTATGTCACTACATCACGATGTCATTAAATAACTAGTACGTCACTAAATCAATAAAACACTTTACCGCTAATCGTCAAATTACCATGTCACTAAATCACTAGTATATCAACGAATCATTG